TTAGATTTTCCCTCTTTTTCAATTTTTAAGATACAATTATTATCCCGACACAATTCTCAGATACACTTTTTCTTTTTTTCTTTTTACGATTTTGTTTTTCATATAGCAATTTAAAGAAAAGCTTTTATAAGAAAATTACGAAAGAGGAAAGATATCATTTGAGAATTTTCTTAAAAAAAAAAAAAAAGAAAAAAAAAAAAAGAAAAAAAAAGAAAGAAAAAAGAAAAAAGAAAAAAAACTGCCATCTTATCGACCGGAAGTCGTATGTAAGAAGAAAGAAAAAAAAACAAAAAAACAAAAAAAAAAAGGAAACGAACAGATTCTACACAACATTTGCTTCATTGCGTTGGAACGTCATTATTATTAAACCATGTTAATGATCCCAATGAATATTCCTACTTTATATTACAATTATCCTTTATTACACTCTTACCCCACCGTAATTATCTCCCTACATTTTAATATAATTTTACAATATTATAATTAATATTTCCTCGGAAAGAACATAACAAAAAAGAATTTCTTCTATATTCAGTCACGGTTTACGTATTATAAACCAAATTTAAACGCGAGGTAGTAAATTTTTTTTTAAACATTCTAATATCCCTAAGCTCTCCCTTCTGGCATTTCATTAACGTTTGAGGTGAGTGTGTTACGAAAAAAGAAAAAAAAAAAAAAAAAAAAAAAAAAAAAAAAAAAAAAAAATAATAAAAAAAAAATAAAAAAAAAAATTTCCTTTGACGAGTTAATAGTACTTCCTCGGATGTACCTTTAAATTAAACCATTTCTTTCTCCCCTCGCTTGAAACTGTCCTACTCGCTTCATTACCTTGGAATGCTGATATTATCGAACCTGTTAATGATTACACGAAGAATATACTTATTTTTTTATTTTTCTTTTTTTTTTCTTTTTTTTTTCTTAATTACAAATATACACGCTCGTACAATGTTACAATATTGTAATTAATATTCTTTGAAAAAGGAATGGACAAATAAAATTTGCTCTTTTTTCTCTTTTTAATCCATTCGCTCTCATGTATTATTAAAAAAAAAAAAAAAAGAAAATAAATAAATAAATAAATCTAAATATCCTTAAACCGATTGATATCCTATCGACGTTGAAAGTGAAATATTTTAGAGAAAAAAAAAAAAAATAATAAATAAATAATTAATACGATTGACGAACAATTATAATACAATTAATATTTCACGTAAAAAAGGAAAATAAAAAGATTATAGAAAGGAAATAATATAATTAATGTAAAATTATAAATGCAATTAGTATTTCCTGAATGAAAAAGAAACATTCAAAAAAGATTTTCTTTTTTTTTTTTTTTTTTTTTTTTCTTTAATTTATTGCCATATTTATTACAAACAAAATCTAAGCATGAATCGGCAAATTTCTTCTAAACAACAAATCTATTTAAGCTCTCTGTTATTGGATTACAAAAGTATATTACAATTTGGATATATTACAAAAGGAAAAAAAAATAAGAAATATTACAATTAATAAAAAATTATAATGCAAGTAATATTTCATATGAAAAAGAACGAAAAGATTTTTTTTTTTTTTTTTTTTTCTTAATATTCATTCGCTGGTTACATATCACGGCAAAAAAAAAATCTAAATTCGAGTTAATAAATTTCTTAAACGTCAAATATCCCTAGATTCTTTGGCATCTCATTGACATTGAAAACGGATATAAAATAAAACAGAAACAAAAAAATTTAGAATACAATCAATTTTTCTTATAAAACAAAGACAAAACAAAAATATTATTTAATATCCATTCGCAGCTACGTATCACAAAAAAAAATAAATAAATAAATAAAATTTAACATAAGATCTAATAGAGAATTAATTAAATTTCTCTAACCTCCAATTAAATAAATATCTCCTAACTTCAACTTTCTGCATTCGAATTGACATTAAAAATGCGAATGTATTATAAAACAAAAAATTTTTTTTTTAAACTCAATCAATATTTTCAATGAAACAAAAACAAAACAAAACAAAAAATATTATTCGACGTACGTTCGTCGCCGCGTATTACACAAAGAAAAAAAAAAAAGAAAGGAAAGAAAAAATCTAACGTATAATACATATATATATATATAATTTAATAGCACAACTAATATTTCCTATAAAACAAATAAACAAACAAACAAACAAATAAACAAAATTTAATAATGCAATTAATACATCCTATTAAAACGAACAAAATAAAATTTAATAACGCAATTAATATTTCCTATGGAACGGACAAAAAAGAAGGGAAGAAAAACCAAAGGAAAAAAAAAAAAAAAAAAAAAAAAAAAAAAAGAGAAAAAAGAAAAAATATTATTCAACCCCACATTCGCCGGGGAGTAGCGTAAGGAAAAAAAAAAAGGAGAAAAGGAAAAAAGAAAAAAAAGAATCAAACGTAAGATTTAATCGCAAAATAAGTTAAATCTCTCGAAATCTCAAATATCTCTTGACCAATCTCTCTGGCATGTCCGTC